CCCGCCTTCTTGGCGCCTATGGGAGTTCATTAAAAGTTCAATTGGAGATACTGTCCTTGAGCCCTATCTATTCTCAGCATACTGTTTTCAAAGGCCCCTGCACAGCCTGACCAACATGGTGAAACCTCATCTGTACTAAAAACACAAAATTAGCTGGGCATGGTGGTGCATGCCTGTAATCCCAACTCCTCGGAAGGCTGTGGCAGGAGATTCGCTTGAACTCGGGAGGCAGAGGTTGCGGTGAGCCGAGATCGCGCCATTGCACTCCAGCCTGGGCAACAAGAGCAAAACTCCGTCTAAAAAATATATACATATATATATATATACTGTAACGATTCCCAAAAATTAGGAGCACAATTAAAGGAACTCCTTCTGATAAAAATTAATTTTATCTTACATGTAAACTAAAATGACTGTATCAAGTTTATTCAGAAATATAATGCAAGGTATTAACTTGCCACAGCTGCGTATTCAGGCTAATGTAATATTGTTATTATTTTTAAATTCTTCTTTTAACTTTACTCATATGTGGATCATCAAACTTCAAAAGATTAAATGACAATACTCTTAGCAGCAAGCTTCCCTAAGCATATAAACATTTTAATGGGTGATGATTCAGTAGGTACCCGAAGAATCTGTACTGCCAGATATCATTCATTCCCATATACCTGTCCGACAGATATCCCATTTTGGGACACTGGATGAATGGGTGGGTGGACAGATAGAAGAAAGTGGTATAAGCAAATGGCTTTGGAGTCTGATTGACAGCGATTAAAATCCTGTCTCTACCTCTTACCAGCCTCATGATCCTGCATAAGTTACCCTAAGCCTCAGGGCCACATCTGTAAATTGGGGGTTGTGATGTGATCTCACAGGGTCTCTTTTCGGGGAATGGCAGGAATTATGGATTAAGTGAGCTAGTAATTGTAAAGCACTTAACACAAGGAAGGCGCATAATAAGTACTCCATAAAGAATGACGGCCATTATCATGACTGAGGTGTATGAGGCTGTCGGGGAATTTCTGGTGGGCAGGGCTCAAAGGCAGCAAATCACACTGGAAGTGGAGATGAGGCACTGCTTCTGCATTGACTCTGCTTAGCAGGAGAGAATGAGGAAGGGTTAGAGGAGATTTAGAGGAACTTAAGAGTCCTCCGCCTCCAACTCTGTCGGATCTGCCCCCGTGCCAAAGACATTCAGGGGATTTCTCGCACTCTCCCTTCCCCTGCGTCCCTCCCGTCCCATCCGATTAACCACACAACACATACAAAATAGGCCCTGCGAGGTTCTGCACGCTGGAAGGGAACGAGAGAAAGGCGCTGCGCTTTTTTGCTGACGCCCTGTACTTGGGCCCCTGGTAGACAGTCACGTGTCCCCTCAGCCTGCGGAGAAATCCCACCTAGACCGCGCCCGGGTCCTTGGCCTCGACCGATCTCCCTTTGGTGGGGGTAGGATGCAGGATCCAGAGTTTTATTGGCTACAGACAGCGGGGTGTGGTCCGCCCAGAACACAGATTGGCTTCCAAGGGCATCTCGGATCCCTGGGTGGGGCGCCGCTCAGACTCCCGGTGCAGGCCCCGCCAAGGCCAGCAGGAAGCGGCCAGACCGCGTCCGTTCGGCGCCAGCTCACTCCGGACGTCCGGAGCCGTAGCCAGCGCTGCTTCCGTCCAGTGCGCCTGGACGCACTCTCCTTACCTGGAGAGAGGCTTGACCTTGAAATCCAGGCTTCATCCCTAGTGTGTGACCTTGAGCAGTTGACTTTATTTTTCAGTGCCTAGTTTTCCGGATACCAGGACTGACTCCAAGGACTATTACTCATCTGGAGGGTTTAGCACAGTAGTGGCGCATACTAAATTTTCCATGTCAGTTTTGGTTACCTTTCGTGCACTTGCAAACATGCCATGCTCCGAAACGAAATAGGCAAATCTTTTTTTTTTTTTTTTTTTTTTTGAGGCGTCTTCCTCTCGCCCAGGCTGGAGTGCAGTGGCGCGATCTCGGCTCACTGTGACCTCTACCTCCCGTGTACGAGATTCTCCTGCCTCAGCCTCCTGATTAGCTGGGACTATAGGCGCGCCACACGCCCCGCTAATTTTTGTATTTTTAGTAGAGATGGGGTTTCGCCATCTTGGCCAGGCTGGTCTAACTCCTGACTTCAGGTGATCTGACCGCCTCGGCCTCTCAAAGTGTTGGGATTACAGGCATGAGCCACCGCGCCTGGCCAGAAATGAAATAAGCAAATCTTTTAACCTGCTCTAATAATATAGTGAAAAGACCATACTGTTATTAGAGCAGGTTAAGGGATTTGCCTTTTTCGGGTTCTAGTTATAGTTTTTTTTTTTTTTTTTTTTTTTTTTTGAGACGGAGTCTCGCTCTGTCGCCCAGGCTGGAGTGCAGTGGCCGGATCTCAGCTCACTGCAAGCTCCGCCTCCCGGGTTTCCGCCATTCTCCTGCCTCAGCCTCCTGAGTAGCTGGGACTACAGGCGCCCACCACCTGGCCCGGCTAGTTCTTTGTATTTTTTTAAGTAGAGACGGGGTTTCACCATGTTAGCCAGGATGGTCTCGATCTCCTGACCTCGTGATCCGCCCATCTCGGCCTCCCAAAGTGCTGGGATTACAGGCTTGAGCCACCGCACCCGGCCTCTAGTTATAGTCTTAAACTTGGACATTCTTGTAGAAAATAAAGTTTCCCCTTCAAAGTTCCCCTTCTTGTTAAAGACTACATCATAAGTGTAATAAGTAATAGTTTCTTTTAAAGACTTTCTTCAAACCTCGTTGCTTTGTGCTAATAACTCTTTGTTAAGCCCTATCCTATGTAATTGTTGGACATGCTCATAGGCACATTGCAGCTCACAGTCTATGCCCCTTCCTTATTTGGAAATGTTATTGCTTCCTTAAACCTTATTTCTTCGTTCTTCCTTGCACTTACCTATTTAGGAAAGTTTTACGCTATTAGCAAACAGGGTATCAGTTTAAGAGTGTGAGGTCCCGCTCCAGCCAATGGATGCAGGACACAGCAGTGAGGACGACCCAAATGTGTAAGGGATAAATATGTCTGCTTTTCCGTTGTTCAGGTGTGCTCTCGACATTGTCCCATCTGCAACTGAGCACACTTTCTGCAGAAACTAAAGATTGCCTTGCTGAGAGATCTTTTGTCTCCGTGCTGACTTTTCTTCACGGCACTGATTATCTATTTCTAACAATTTTGGTATTTCTAACATTCTGAACCATCTTGGGCTAGTTGTCTCTTCTGGGCCTGTTTTCTCATCCGTCACATGATAAAATTCATTGGTTAAAAAACCCCAGCGAACATTTATTGAGTTACTATTACCTTCCTGCCCTCCCCAACCCCAACCCCAGGGAGCAGTTACAACCTCAGCCGCTGAGCGCACTCGTGGGGTGTAAGAAGCACCAAAGACAGGGACGCTTGATTCGTTTTGCTTTGGGAGTAGAGGAAGGGTCAGAAGATTCACAGGAAAATGGCATTTGAGCAAGGATGATTCACTGGAGCTTGCTTTTAAATACTGGCGAGGCTTTTATGTTGCAGTCCCTTACAAAGTTCAGCATTCGCAGGGATTGCACTCCGAAATAAGCCCGCTTCCCCTTTTCCTTCGCGAATGACCGAGGGAGCTGCTGGTTCCCATGCAGCAGGTTGTGCCCTTTCCTTATCAGGGTTCTGCATCGCCTCGAACCCGCAGGCCGTGGTGGGCTGCTCTCCTGGTTGGAAGCAGGGGCTGGGGTGCAGGGTGAAGCTGCTCATGTCGGCCAGCGCCTGTGAGCAAACCTCAAACGGAGGAGCAGGAGGGGTCGAGCAGGAGCGTGACAGGGTTGGCCCTGCCTTTTAGAAGGGCACAATTTGAAGGGTGCCCAGGGGCCGGAAGCCGGGGACCTAAGGACCGCCCCGTCCCAGCTGCTGGGAGGGCTCCCGCTCCAGGGAGGTTAGTTTTGCAGAGACTGGGTCTGCAGCGCTCCACCGGGGGCCGGCGGCAGACGCCACAAAACAGCTGCAGGAGCAGTGGCTTGCTCCAGGCACCCAGGGCCCGGGAAAGAGGCGCGGGTCGCACGCGCGCATCACGCGGGCGATGCGGGCGTGCGCCCCTCCACCCGCGGGAGGCGGTGGGGGAAAGGGGCGGGGCCGGCGCTTGACCTCCCGTGAAGCCTAGCGCGGGGAAGGACCGGAACTCCGGGCGGGCGGCTTGTTGATAATATGGCGGCTGGAGCTGCCTGGGCATCCCGAGGAGGCGGTGGGGCCCACTCCCGGAAGAAGGGTCCCTTTTCGCGCTAGTGCGGCGGGCCCTCTGGACCCGGAAGTCCGGGCCGGTTGCTGAATGAGGGGAGCCGGGCCCTCCCCGCGCCAGTCCCCCCGCACCCTCCGCCCCGACCCGGGCCCCGCCATGTCCTTCTTCCGGCGGAAAGGTAGCTGAGGGGGCGCCGGCGGGGAGTCAGGCCGGGCCTCAGGGGCGGCGGTGGGGCAGGTGGGCCTGCGAGGGCTTTCTCCAGGGCGGCAGCAAGGCCTTCAGCGAGCTTCGGCCTCGGCGCAGATGCCCCCTGAGTGCCTTGCTCTGCTCCGGGACTCTTCTGGGAGGGAGAAGGTGGTCTTCTTGCGCGAGGTCAGAGGAGAATTGTCGCGCTGGTTCAGAAGCGATTGCTAAAGACCACAGAAGTTCCTGCTTGTTTGGTTAAGAACAGTTCTTAGGTGGTGGTTAGTTTTTTTGTGTTTTTTTGAGGACCGTGGATCAAGATCAAGGAAATCTCTTTAGAACCTTATTATGGAAGTCTGAATTTTCCAAATAGTGAGGGTTTTATGTCTAAAAGCAACATGTGAAAAAATTGTTTTCTTCACCCAGTGCTGTCTTATAATTTCCTCTTGGGGGGAGGGGTAGTTACTGCTGTTACTAAAATAAAATTACTTACTGCTAAAGTTCCCCAAGAGGAAGACCACTACTTTTGATGACTTTGCAAGTTTACTAGCTACTGGAAGCCTAACTGTATAAACGAACTACTTACATTTTTGATTTTCAGTTGTATTACCTGCACAATATTTACGTAGAAGCAGCTTGGGTTTGATTTTGGGTAAGGTTGTTGCACTTCATTAAAAATACATATCCGAAGTGAGCAAGTGTGGATCTGTGGACAGCAGTGATATTTCCTGTCAATTCCTGTTGCTTCAGATAAAATGTACCAGACAGAGGCCGGGCGCGGTGGCTCACGCCTGTAATCCCAGCACTTTGGGAGGCCGAGGTGGGTGGATCACCTGAGGTCAGAGTTCAAGACCAGCCTGGCCAACGTGGGGAAACCCCCGTCTCTACTAAAAATACAAAATTAGCCAGGGTGGTGGCGCATGCCTGTAATCCCAGCTACTCGAGGCTGAGGCAGGAGAATTGCTTGAACCTGGGAGGCGGACGTTGCGGTGAGCCGAGATTGCACCGTTGCACTCCAGCCTGGGCAAAAAGGGCTAAACTCCGTCTCAAAAAAAAAAAAAACAGTACCAAACAGAAATGAGTTTTGTTCTCTTTTTTTGTTTTGAGACGGAGTTTCGCTCTTGTCGCCCGGGCTGGAGTGCGATGGCGCGATCTCGATCTCGGCTTACTGCAACCTCCACCTCCCAGGTTCAATCGATTCTCCTGCCTCAGCCTCCCAAGTAGCTGGGATTACCCATGCCCCACCATGCCAGACTAATTTTTGTATTTTTAGTAGAAACGGGGTTTCACCATGTTGGTCAGGCTGGTCTTGAACCCCTGACTTCAAGTGAGCCTCCCACCGCGGCCGGCCAGAAACGGGTTTTGGAAAAAGCACTAAACAAAATCAGGAACTTGGATTCATATGACAGCTCTGCTACTAACTGTAACGGGGGACAGACCAGTTAACCTACTTTTCTGTCTTCTGTCAGCTGAGAATTAGATGATTCCCAAAGGCCCATTGAACTCTGAATGGCATTAAATACTTCTTAAGTAGGTACACGGTTTTGGTAACTGATGCTAGGTGATGAATGAATGAAAGTGCTGAATGAATGAAACAGGTAAAATAGAAGGAGGAATCTTTATTGGTAAGGCAGGGGTATACTTAATAGCTCTCTAATTTGTTGGCATTGCAGTGGTTACCTTTTGTTTTTTTAAGGGGGGAAAAGCATTCTAAGAATAATGAGACAAACTGCATATTGCACAAGAGACTGTTGTCTCTATTCAACGAATATCTTTTGAGTGTCCACAGTCTGCCAGGCACTGTGCTAGGTCCTCACGATTGGGTAGCGAACCAGACAATGTCCCTGCACCCATGGAGTTTATTGTCTCCTGGGGTAGACAGATAATAAATAAGCAAACAAATCTCTTCCTCTCTTCTCCCTCCTGCTCCATGTAAGTGTGTGTGTAGAGGTGTATACTTAACAAATTGAGTAAAGTGTTATGAAAGATTAAGAGGAGAAACACATTTTGGTTAGATGTTAGAGGACTCAGCAGGTGACCTTGAAACTTAGAGCTGAAAGATCAGTAGGAGGTAACTAGAGAGGCCAGGGAATAGCATGTTCAAAGGTCAGGAGGCAAGAAAGAACATGGTGCCCTTCAAGAGAGGAAAGAAGGCTACTATGACTGGGGCATAGATGTAGGCAAGTGGCAGGTGATTGAGAGCTCTACAGGCCATGGTTAGGTTTTATTCCTAATGCCGAGATGCTAAACATAGTGATTCATATCTGTAATCCCAGTACTTCAGGAGGCTGAGGCAGAAGTATAGCTTGAACCCAGGAGTTCAAGACCAGCCTGAGCAACATGAGACCTGTACAAAACATAAAAAATTTGCTGGGTGTGATGGTGCACACCTGTGGTCCCAGCTACTCAGGAGGCTGAGGCAGAAGGATCACTTGAGCCTAGGTGGTGGAGGCTACAGTGAGCCATATTTGAGTCACTACACTCCAGCCTGAATGACAAAGTGAGACCCTGTGTCAAACAAAATACAGAGAGAATGTTAATTTAAAATTTCAAAAGAGGAGTGATCTGAACTTATATCTTAAAAAGATCATTTTAGGGCACAGTGGCTCATGCCTGTAATCAAGTGCTTTGGGAGGCTGAGACGGGAGGATCACCTCAGGCCAGTTCGAGATCAACCTGTACAACATAGGGAGACTTCATCTCTATAAAAAGAAAAAATAAATAGCTGGGCGTTGTGAGCTATTCAGGATGCTGAAGCAGAAACATCACTTGAGCCCAGGAGTTTGAGGCTGTAGTAAGCTGTGATCCCACCACTGCAACACAGTGAGATCCTGTCTCAAAGAAAAAAAAAAATCATTCTAGAAGCTTTTTGGAGACTGGATGTGGTAAGAGTAGAAGCTGGAGATGGTCTGTTAGGGATTCTATTCAGACTTTAAATACCACCAATGCGTTGAGTCCCAAATTGACATCACTACCTTGGATCCTTGCCCCTGAATCCAGATTGGTATATGCAACTTTAGGTTCACTTTATATCTCTACCTCATTAATACAGAGGTGTCCATTATTTTGGCTTCCCTAGGCCACATTGGAAGAATTGTCTTGAGCCACACATAAAATACACTAACGCTAACAATAGCTGATGGGCTGAAAAAAAAAAATCGCAAAACTCATAATGTTTTAAGAAAGTTTACGAATTTGTGTTGGGCTCATTCAAAGCCGTCCTGGGCTGCATGAGGCCCATAGGCTGCAGGTTGGACAAACTTAATCCAGTAGATACCTTCAACTTGCAATATCTAAAATTTTATGCCAGATTTAGTCCTTTTAGACCCGCTCATCAGTTTTTCTCAGTAAGTAGTATTTTTGGCTTTTTTTTTTTTCTTTTTTTTGTGATGGAGTTTCGCTCTTATTGTTCAGGCTGGAATGCAGTGGCGGACCTTGGCTCACTGCAACCTTTGCCTCCTGGGTTCAAGTGATTCTCCTACCTCAGCCTCCCAAGTGGCTGGAATTACAGGCATGCGCCACCACGACCAACTAATTTTTGGAGACAGGGTTTCACCATGTTGGTCAGGCTGGTTTTGTACTCCTGACCTGAGGTGATCCACCCGCCTCGGCCTCCCAAAGTGCTGGGGTTACAGGCGTGAGCCACCGCTCCTGGCTGCATTTTTGGATTTTTAATTGCTCAGCCCAAAACTTTAGTACATCCTTGAACCTCTTCTTTCCTCCTACTCTATATCTGATCCATCAGCAAATCTGTTAGGTCTACCTCACACATATCCAAATCCTACCACTTCTCACCATCTGTGACAATTAACACCCTGGTCTAGGCAGTCATCTCTGTTAAGATTGAGTGGTTAAAGATGTCCTCTAAGGAGATGACATTCAAATCTGAGCTTAAATGTCAAGAGGGAGCTGGTTTTATAAAGATTGAGGAGGCAGCATTATTTTGCTATAGGCTTCCATTTGGTTTCCATTCCATTCTTGATACTTTTTTTTTTTTTTGAGACAGAGTCTTGCTCTGTTGCCCAGGTTGGAGTGCAGTGACCGGATTTCAGCTCACTGCAAGCTCCGCCTCCTGGGTTTATGCCATTCTCCTGCCTCAGCCTCCTGAGTAGCTGGGACTACAGGCGCCCGCCACCTCGCCTGGCTAGTTTTTTGTATTTTTTAGTAGAGACTGGGTTTCACCGTGTTAACCAGGATGGTCTTGATCTCCTGACCTCGTGATCCGCCCGTCTCGGCCTCCCAAAGTGCTGGGATTACAGGCTTGAGCCACCGCGCCTGGCCTCCATTCTTGATACTTATGGTATATGTTCAAAACAAATGCACAGAAACAGACCCAGGTATATATGGGAATTT